TCAAGTCATTGGCCATTGGTAATTAAGCTCTACATTCAACTCTTCTCCTCTTCCTGAATGTGTGGGGGTAGGAATGTTAAGTTTCAACTCTAGTCAGTTGGTTGCTTCCTTTCACAGCTTGTCCCATCCTGGGACTTAACTATAGGCTTTCAGTCATTCATCTCAGTAACATACAAAAAATGAGACCCCTTTCTCCAGTGATTTCAAGATCTTAAAAGTTCTTGTGTCAGGAATTTGGGATGAAGACCTAATAATATATATAATATTTCTTTTTATGTGTCATAAGATAAATTTATAATCTTACAATATCAAAATGATATTTGTGTGGGTCTGTTTCTGGGATTTCTATACTATTCCATTAATGTACTTGTTTATTTTGCTATACTTTCATGGTAAAATCTATTACTCTAAGTTTTATAGCGAGTCTTAAAGGTGGGTAGCTTCAGTCCTCTTTTCATCTCCTTCAGTATCATTGTGTTGGCTCTTCTCAGTCTTTTGCTTTTTGTAAGCTTTAGAATCATTTTGTATTAGCCACAAAATAACCTGCTTGGAAATTATTGGGATTGTGTTGAATCTATACATCAAATTGGGAAGAACTTCCCACAAGGCCTTGTTTGGATTCCCTAGCACTTGGGGCATGGGGTGAAGGGAAGAAAGAAAAGAATGAGGATATAGCATATAGCTCAGTGGTAAAATGCTTATCTACCATTGTATAAAGCCCTGGGTTTGGTCCCTAACCAAAAAGAAGGGGAAAAGAAAAATAAAAAGGATCATCCATCTGTAAAACATGGAATATTTTTCCATTTATTAATTCTTCACACATTTCTTTTTCTTTTGCTGTTTTCCTTGTAGAAATATTGTAAATATTTTGATTTATACACAAGTATTTTTTATTGTTTTGAATGCTAATTTAAATGGTATTGTGTTTTTAATTTCAAATTCTTTTGGTTCATTGCTGGTGTATAGGAAAGTGATAGATGTATATATTAGTTTTGTAGTTATCAGTCTTGCTATAATTACTTAATAGGTTTAGGAGTTGTTTTGAATTGTTGGGTCAATTTCAGATTTTTCATATAGACAACCATGTCTAGAAATAGAGACACCTTTATTTCTCCTTTCCCAATTTGTGTGCTTTTTATTGAGTGAGTTAGAAGGTACTTTCTCTTTGTGTAGTTGTCAGATGACTTTGAGAAGACTGATGTTAATTCTTTTTAACTTGTGTTTGGTGTACAATTTATCAGTAATATGATCTGGCCCATAGCTTTTCCTTATGGAGAGATATTTGGTAACTGATTCTTAGTCTTGTTATTGGTCTGTTCTTTTGTGTATTTCTGTTCATTGTGTGCATCTAAGTTAGGTAATGTATTAGCATAGTTGTTTACCATATTCTCTTATTTCTGTAAGGTCAGTAGTAATAGTCTCATTTTTGTTTCCAATTTTAGTTACTTGCATGTTCTTTCTTTTTTTAATAATCACTATTAAGATTTGTTAATTTTGTTGATCCTTTCAAAAATCAGCTTTTGGCTTTATTGATTATATTTTTTTGAAGTCTCTTATTTTCTCATTTCTGCTGTCTGCCTATCGGTTTAATTTGCTCTTTTTTTCTCCTTGCTTAAGGTATATAGTCAGTCCTTAATTTGAGATTTTCTTAAAAAAATATGGATATTTAGACCTATATTTTCTTGTGAGAATTGCTTTTGCTGTATTGTGTAAATTTTGGTGTATTTTTTTCTTTTTTGATTCATTGATAGTTAAAAGTGTGTTGTTTTATTCCTATTTGTGATTTTTTCCAGTTTTTCAATTTTTGACTTTTTATTTCATCATGATCAAAGAAGATACCTTATGATTTTAGTCTTTTAAAGTTTACTGATAATTTGTTTTCGGCCTAAAACATCTGTTTTGGAGAGCAGTCTATGTGTACGCGAGAAGAATGTGCATTCTATGGTTGAGAGGTATTTAATGTCTTTGGTCTACCTAGTTTACGTTGTTTTTCAAGTCCTCTGTTCCTTTGTTTATCTTTCGTGTACATGCTTTATGTTTTATTTAAGGTCAGAAATTAAAATTACCAACTATACTATTTTTCCCTATCTGTGGTTTTACTTTATGTAGTTTCACTTACTCGTGGTCAACTATTGTCTGAAAGTATTGTATTAAATTGAATATTCCAGTAATAACTATTAATTTTAAATTGTATGCTATTCAGAGTAGCATAATAGAAATCTCTCATTATTCCACTTGGTACATGAATTGTCCTTTTGTCCCATGTGTCTACACTGTATGCAGTACTCGCCCATTAACTACTTAAATGGCTGTTTCCATTCTGAGATTGCTAGTCACGGTATCTCAGTGCTTGTGAACAAGTTGCCCTTATTTTACTTTATAATAGCCCCAAAGTGCAAGAGCAGTGATATGGGCAATTTGGATATGTCAAAGAGAAATTGTAAGTTGCTTCTTTTAAGTGCAACAATAGGGGGTCTCAATAAGGAAAGAAAAATATCACATGTTGAGGTTGCTAAGATCGGGTGTATATTATGAGGTTTTATACTATACATTCCCCGAATCCACTTGGGGTCTTAGACTATATGCCTTGTGGATGAGAGGTGGGCTAATGTATTATTGTAGCACTGTCTAATTCTTTCAGTTGTGTCTTTAACTCTGTAATTTTTTCTTTTCTTTTCTTTTTTTTTTTTTTTTGGTACTAGGAATCGAATCAATAACCTCATGCTTGCCAGGCAGGTGCTGTGCCACTGAGCTATATCCCTGGCTAAATCTATAATATTTTATATATTTTGAGACATTGCTGTTAGTGAATATGTTTTTATGATTCTTTGTCTAATGAATTGTCTTCTTTTTTCACCCCCAAAATCTCCTGTACTTTTTTTCTATGTTTCTTTTTTGCTTTAAAATCTGTGTTGTCTGATACTAGGAAAGCCATTCCAGCTCTCTTGTTTACTATTTACATAGAATATCCTTTTTCATCTTCATGCTTTCAACCTAGTAGAATCCAGAACAAGTTTCTTACAGACAGCATATAATTGAATCACTTGAAAAAAAGGCATTTTTAAAGCTGGGTGTGGTGTTAATTCTAGTGCTAGGGGAAACTGAGGTATAAGGCTCCAAAGTTTGAGCCCTGCCGGGAAACATGGCAATTTAGTGAGGCCCTGTCTCAAAATAAAAAGGCCACAGTGAGGTCATGTTTCCAGGTTATTAAATCAGTACTCTTTGACAGATTTCCTTAATTAAGGAACTGAAACCAGAAGGAGGGAAAGATCTCTTGGTTCTTAGCCAAGAAATTACTTCAGTAGCCACTTAAAGGTCTACCTAAATCTTTAACTGTCTACTTTTACAGACCTCAACAATCCCCTAGTGAAGTGTGCCTCTTTCAGGCTTCTCTGAATTCATCTAGCCCTATATATGGAATTCGTACCTTTGATTTCCAGTATATATGGTAGTCCTTGAAAGCTCTGATTCCCTAACAGATCTTCCTATTCATATTATATTTACAGGGTTTTTTATCTTCACTCATGTCATAGGCTACTCTCGCTCTGTGCAGCTATAGCATATTGAAGTTCTTTTAACAAATCTGTCTGAGAAGCACTTCAAGAAATATACTACTATCATTTTTGAGAACAATGTTCATGTTGCCTTTTGTTGTACCAGAAAGCTGCACTGTGAATTTCATCTGCTTTCCTCAGTGATGCTGGTGAGTTAGGAAATCAGGGATGGAGTATAGAGAAGAAAAATGATACTTTGATTTCTTACCAAACTTAGTAACTTTTTGCTTTGGTAGGCACTCCTCTCATTGTGAAAATTTTTGTTATATTTAAGATTTCTGTGTAAGTTGATTTTTGTTGGGTTTTGCCAATTTAAGAATTACTTCATTGTAGGAGCTGATTCTAGGAGCTTCGAACTGTGCCGTTTTCCATGTTGTTAATGTTCCATTTTTCATATTGTTATCACTTGTTATATAATTTAGGGCTGACTTATTTTCTCTCAACATATTTTTAAGTTTTCCAGCATTTTAAAGATGTGACTACACTGTCTTCTAGTTTACATAGTTGTCAACAGGAAGTCTAATTCAAACTTTTTTCCATTATTTCTTTTTTTTTTTTTTTTTCCATTATTTCTTAACACATTCTTCTGCCTTATACTTTTTTTCTCTGTCTGAAATTCCAGTTATACCTTTGATTTTGTAATATGATCTATTTTGGATACTCAGTTTTGTCTTCCTGTGTTCCTTTTTTTAAAAAAAGCTTTATTTTCCAAAGCAGTTTTTTTCCACAGTAAATTTGAGAAGAAAGTGCAGAATTTTGTTTAACTCATCATCCTTACACATGCCTAACCCTCTTCCACTCTAAATATGTTGCACTGGAATATGGTATATTTCTTACAATTGATGAATCTACATTGGCTTGCCATTTCCACCCAAAGTCTGTATAATGTTACAGGACACTCTTGATGTTGTGTATCCTATGGGTTTTGATAAACATATGACATAAATCCATTCTTACAGCATCATTTAGAACAGTTTTACTGCCCTAAAAATCCTTTGTGCTCTGCCAGTTTTCCTTCCCATCCCCCAGCCCCTGACAATTACTGATGTTTTTGTGGTTTTCATAGGTATAGCTTTGGATATAGTTGGAATGATCAAATATGTAATATTTTCAGATTAGCTTCTTTCACTTAGTAATGTGCTTTTAAAAGTTCCTCGATGTCACTTCATGGCTTGATAGCTCATTGCCTTTGAATACCAAATAATACTCTGTTGTCTGGATATACCACAGTTTGTCCCTTCATTTAATGAAGGACATCTTGGTTGCTTTTAAATTTTGGGAGTTATGGTTAAAATTACGGCAATCATCCTTGGGAAGGATTCTTTATGGATATGTTCTCAATTTACTTGGGTAAATACCAAGAACTGCATTCACTAATAGTGTTGATTGATTGTAGTTTATGTATTCTGGCATATTTTATAATAATTTTCTTTTTTTAATTAACAGGATCGCCTTTAAGGTTGTTTCAGAAGTTTGAGTTGTACAGAATTGCATTATTTTGCTGTATTGTGGAACGTCTCCAACAATGATTACTTCAGAGTTACCAGTGTTACAGTAAGTATTGAAATTTTTTAAAGGAAAAAATGCACATATTTATCACAATGATGTCTTTGATTAGATATCAGCTGTATTCTCTGATATTGAGATGGTATATTTGAAATCGAAGCATTAAGGTCTTTAATTGCCATATCCAGCCATGCCTCTTCTGTTGGAATGTCAGCATGTTTTCTAATACTGAATTTAAAAAGGTATTGTTCTGCTATTCAGGGTTCAGCAAATTATCACCTGAAAGCCAAATCTGGCATGCTGTTTTTATAAATAATGTGTTATTGGATCAGAGCTGTAATTGTTCCTTTATATAGTCATAATGGCTGCTTTGTGCTGCAAACTGATAGTGATTGAATTTGTCTAGAAAGCCTAAAATAGTTAGTTTGACCATTTTGAAGAAAAAAATTCGTTGACCTCCATTCTGTATCTCCTTGTTTTTGCCCTGTCCTTGCTCTTTTAGCTTGTTCATTAAGACTTTTTCCCTGAGACTGAGATTGGTGAGCCATTCTGGTTAGTAGAAATAATTTTAGGAGACTACCATTTGGTATTTTTGGTGGCATATCATTAGCTTTGTTGGATTTGTAGTACAGATTGAGAAGTGGAACTTATTTTTGAATTCTCTGGAAAATATGGTCATAGTAATAGCAGATATAGTACCATTATAGCTTTTACAAAGATGCAAATTAGGAATCTATATACTTTTAATCCTATAGATAATGATGGTTTAGCTATAATGAAAGTGATTAATAATAGCTTAAGCAATTACTTACGTTGTTACTGCCATACTTAATTTATATATCTCTTTTCTAAGAGTCAGGGTCTGACTATTCTCTGGCTTTTTCCCCTCATAAAAAGCTTTCCAAATTTCTTTACCTGCTTCAAAGACCATCATATTGTCCTCTCTTCTTTCTTTCAAATATTGGAGGTACATTTTAAGTCTTTTCTATCTTAAGTTACCTCACTCCCCTGTACTCTCTAACTTGAACGTAATGAGTTTAGAGTCTCTAAATAATTTCCTTCCTCCAGCCCACCTCTCTGCAATGTACTTTTGCCTTACCCATCCAACTCACTATTTATGTCTTAGTTGAAGTATCCTGGATCTGGCAAAGCTCCTCTAAACCCTCGGAGTTGGGGTAGATACCCTTTTGTGGTTCTACATTTCATACATACTTTTCTTAGTAGCATGATGTTCCCCCTCCATGGCTCTGACTCACTTACTAAACTATATAAGTTTGTCTTATTTTTGTATAATCTACTCCTAGCCCACTGGTTGTTAGCATTAGTGATATAATATGAAACAGAGGTTGGTGTGTAAATTGTGCTTATATTTATGAATTAATTTTTTTATTAGTACCTTGTTTGTAACTGGTGGTGATCTGGGATCTGGGTAAATGGGCTCTGATTTATATTCTTCACCTAGAAATGGTATCTTGGTCCAATTGAGAACTTAATATGGTTTTATGAAGGTATATGGTTTTTTGGGGAATTTTGTGGATATGTTTGCATATATTATCTTTCTTAATCCATCTCTCCATTATGTTATGTATTGTGTTATGTATTCGAGCATAGCTTTCCTTGACTATGACAAAATGTGAGGCAATCAATTTACGAGGAGAATAGGTTTATTTTGGATTACAGTTTCAGAGGCTCCAGTCCATTATCAGTTGGCTGCACTACTTTGTACCTTCGGCAAAGTTGTATATCATAGTGTGGGGATCCTTAGAGTGACCTGCTCACCACATGGTGTTTTTGATCCTCTATAATAATGTTGCTTTGATTCTATATGATAATGATGAAGAAGCAGAGAGAGAGAGAGAGAGAGAGAGAGAGAGAGAAAGGGACTAGAATCCAATACTGCCTTCAAAGGCCAGCCTTTAGCAACCTAACTTCCCACTAGCCTTCACCTCTTAAAGGTTCTACCACTTTTCATCTGTTACTGGGCTGTTGACCAAGCCTGTGCTCTTTTAGGGGACATTTACCCAAACCACAGCATTCTGACCCTGGCCTCTGAAGGCTCATGTCTGTCTTACAGTACAAAATGCATATAGTCTTTCTCCAAGAGTTTTCAAGTATACCATGCTAGCATTACTCAATAGTCCAAATCCAGTCTCCTTTGAGAATCAAGGTAGACTCAGCTATAAACCACTGTAAAAATAAAAAACAAAACAAAACAAGTTTTCATATTTCAAAGAGGCAGCATGGGAGAGGTATTCCTATTCCCAAAGGCAGGAGTAGGAAAATAGTAAGGAGGAATTGGATCAAAGCAAAACCAGAACTCAGCAGGGAAAACATTTAACATGTTCACAACAGGATGTAATTTATGTGTTTTGCTGCCAGGCAGCTCTGAACTACTGATCATTCAAGCTGTCAGGAATGTGTTAAGTTCTATAGCTTTGTATCCAGGAGCACACATACAAGTTGGCATGATGTGAGCTCCAGAGGGCTTGGGCAGCACTGTGTCTATGGCCTGACTGGCTGTAGCCTACATGTCCACTCTTTCTCACTAATTCTGTTTGCTCCCTGTGGCTTTCCTGGGCAAGTATTATTTCTGCTATCTCTATCTTGCAGGCTCTCCATTGCAGCTTCAGGTTTACTCTCAAAGCTTCATACAGTGCCCAACTACAATGCCTCCGCACACTACATGGGCTCCTAGGCCTTCCTTTGAAATATTGGTGGAAGTTTTCATCACTCCATAACTCTGTATACCTGCAAATCAGAATCATGTGGATGACACCAAGGTCTGGCATCAGTGTAAAGTGTGCCATGGTTGGCTCAAACCAATGGCCACAGTGGCTTCTGAGTGCCTCGAAGACTGAACAGGAGGAAAGGAATCCCTTGGAAACAATTCATGGGTGGCCCTGTGTGAACAGGACACCTAGGGTTCTTCTCAAATGAAAGTCTTTGAAGGAGTTTACATCTGTGAGCCTGCAGTTAGTAGGTCTTACTGGTTCTTGAGATGCCTTCAAGGTATTTTTACTATTGTTCCAGTGCAAAACACTTGGTTTCTTTTTAATGGCATTAGCAATTGCAACCATACCTCCTTGGCAGCACCTTTTAGGTACTTCCTTTTGGCCATATTCTTGAAATTTCAAATCTTGCCACTCTGCTTTTTTGTACCCAGTTATTACCATACATCTGACTGAAAGCAGCCAGCAGTGTTGCTGCCAGAGTGACTTGCTACCTTGAAATTTGCCCTGCCAGATAACCTAGTCTATTTATTACTTTTAAGCTCAGCCTTCCTCAAAGTCTCAGGGAATATATTAAAGGAAGCCAAATTATTTGCCATGGTATAACGGTGCTGTTCTGTAGTCCAGTTTCCCAATAGAATCTGCATTTTCATCTCATACCTCATGAGCATAATCTTGCCTGTTCACATTTCTTTCAGCGTTGTGTTCTTATGAATCCTCTTAAGAATTGCCTCCTAAGCTCCCTTTACAGCACTCTTAAGCTTTCTCCATCCTGTTTCTCTAAACTTCCAAATTCCTTCTTCAATTCAATTACAAAGGTGTCTGAATCGCATTGTTAGGAATAGTCAAAATATGTGTATATAGATTTCTGATGCTGTAAAAAACATGTTTTTGGCTCATAAGTTTAGAGGTTTCAGTTCATGGTTGGCTTTGATCTTTTTGGGTCACTGCTAAGACTGCATTGTGGAGACAGTGAGTTGGGGGAACAAGCTGTTTAGCTCTTGGCAGCTGGGAAGCAGAGAGAAGGATGAGGAGACCAGAGTGCTACTATCCCTTTCAAGGGCACCTCTCTCAAGTGCCTCCCACTAGGTTCTACATCTTGTAAGTTTTGCCGCTTCCTAATATCACCACAGGCTAGCTACTAAGCCTTTAACAAATGGGCCTTTGAGGGACACTTACACAAATCATAGTATCTGTATTCATTGTAGAGAAAGGAAACTTCAATTTTTGTTATCTTTAAAGTGAAGATAATACACTAGACATTGATTTCTATGGTTGCCTTTAAAACAAAAGCAAAATATTATGAACTAGATATTTTAAGTGATCGGTTCAGTTAAGGTTTTTAAAATGTAGACATGAGAAAGGCCACTCTAGTGATTGAACTTATTATTTCTTGGCTGATTTACTTAATTGCTAGTGGATTTTTTTTTACCTTAGTGCTGTTGCTATTAAGAATTGTCAAAATATTATCATGTACTGCATGTTGGTAGTCCATAAGTGTGCTAGATTTAGAATAGCTGTAACATTAGTATATATAGTTTTATATATATATAAATATATATAGTAGAATATATATAGTAGAAATATATATATAGTAGAATAACTCATTATTTGTCGCCATTAAACTTATGAAGGTAGATGTTAGTTTAAAAATCACAAATGCATAGTTTTAAATTTCCATTGGTGCTGTGAAGGAAAAGTCAAGCATATTGTTAGAATTTTCATGCATGCTTTTATTCAATATACTTTTATAAGGATGGGGTAGTGGAATTGAGAGGTCTGAAGTGGGAAATGAATATAGGAAATGAAGAAGGAAGTGCAGGGTATTATTCCAGACTGAGGAAATGCCATATACAAAGTTTAAGATAGGAGGGAAGCATGTTATATTTGAAGCTCTGAAGTAAAGTCTTCTTTTCCCCCAGTTATTTTTTTTTTTGGTGGTGGCGGTAGGGTAAGGAATGATGTGAGAAGGCTTCTAGATAGAGAGGAACAGTATCATATTGTTACCTGCTAAGTTATATTTGGAAATATGTTGTTCTGTCTCCTCTGCACTGGGAAGTAATGATGAGGTTTCAACATGAGAGAGAGAAGATAAGAATATATAGTATAATATAATATAATATATAATATAATATATACTAAAATTATATATAAAATTTGAAAATAACTTTGAGTCCAGTATAGTGATTACATTGGAAGGGCCAACATAAGAAGACCAATTAAGAGGAGGCTTTTGCAGTATATTGGCTAGTAGTGATAAATTGAACTAAACTGATTTAAATAGAAGTGAAGACAAGTAAACAGAATTTTCAGAGTTTC